TTTGTCAAAGATCAGATGGTTGTAGATATGTTGTGTTGCCTCCGAGACCTCTGTTCTGTTCCATTGGTCTATATCTCTGTTTTGGTACCAGTACCGTGCTGTTTTGATTACTGTACGTGCTGTTTTGATCTCTTATTTCATTGAGCAGTGGCTTGTAGTTCTCCTTGAAGAGGTCCTTTACATTCCTTGTTAGTTGTATTCCTAGGTATTTTATTCTCTTTGTGGCCAATTGTGAATGGCAGTTTGTTCTTGATTTGGCTCTCTTTAAGTCTGTTATTGATGTATAGGAATGCATGTGATTTTTGCACATTGATTTTGTATCCTGAGACTTTGCTGAAGTTGCTTATCAGTTTCAGGAGATTTTGGGCTGAGACGATGGGGTCTTCTAGATATACAATTATGTCATTTGCAAATAGAGACAATTTGACTTCCTCCTTTCCTATTTGAATACCCTTTATTTCTTTTTCTTGCCTGATTGCTCTGGCTAGAACTTCCAGTACTATATTGAATAGGAGTGGTGTGAGAGGGCATCCTTGTCTAGTGCCAGATTTCAAAGGGAATACTTCCAGTTTTTGCCCATTCAGTATGATATTGGCATGCCTGTTTCAAAACATCTCATGTACCCCATAAATATACACACTTACTATGTACCACAAAAATTAAAACTTAAAAAAAAATTTTTTAAAGAAAAAATGCATAAGAAAACCTTGGACTATCTTGTCAAATAAGAAAGTAAAAAAATGAACAAAGACTACTGGGGTTGTGTCAAAGGACTTAGTAGTCAACATGAAGAGGCTCCCACTAGCAAAAGGTGGAACAGTTTGAGCACGGAAAAGAATACATGCAATGGACTGAAACATATCAAGTATGTATTTTTTTAAACTTTGAATTTATAATAATATTAAACGTAAAAGACTCAGTCACCTTTGGCAGATACTAAAGAACCAACTCATTATTCTGAAAACTAGTTTAGTAAAGGGGCAATGAGGAAAGAATTTATCTTGCATTTCCTGTGTGACTCTATATCTGGATACCAAATAGATGAGAGAATTTTTTCTTCATAGGACTGTTCTAATTAATATTCCTATATAAGGAAAGAAAATTTGAAAATTACTATAACTCTAATGAAAAAATGAATTTAGGTAAATATCATCAATGGCTACTAAAAACCCTTAGGTGAAAAGATAATGGAAGGAGCCAACTGTTAAGTTTTCAGCAATTTTGCAGCCACTAGCATGGCAATGGTAGCTTAAAACCAGCCATGGTTGAAATATTTATATTGTGGGAATTGAAATAAATCAGGGAAATGCTACAAATCAGGATCCTCTCCTTGATTGCAGTAACTTGCCCCAAGCTGGTTGCTAAATATTTACCAACACACCAGTGGATAAGGCTACCAACAGCTGAAGACACTGATCCATCTTAACATTATAGAAAGAGAAACAACCAAATACTATGAGCATCCTGTTAAAAGCATAAAACACCAGAAAAAGCAGTTTTGACAAAAAAATATATATATATAAATCTAACTACCAGTTATAGAAACTAAGGGGGAAGGGGATAGATAAACATGTTAAATGATACCACAGGGATGTAAACAGCAAAAATCCCAAAAACAGGGAGCTCCACAGGACCAAAGATTCAGTTTCCAAAACAAATAAATTATAAGAGGGGGAAAAAAGAAGGAGGAGGTAAGGGAGGCAATCTATACAGTAAAAGAGATGAAAGAGACAAGTCAGTTAAATGCAGTGTATGAACCTTGATTGGATTCTGATTTGAACTAACCAAATGCAAATATACATATCTATTTATCTTCCTGTCTATGTATGTGAGATATTGGAATAACTGAACATTAGCTGGATAGTTTGATATTAAGGAATTACTGTTAACCTTCCAGGTATGATATGGGATCATGGTAATATCTTTAAAAAATAGTCCTTATCTTTTACTGATACATATTGATATACTGTATTTATAGATGAAATGACATCATGGTGCAGGGAGGGGAGATAGGGATAAAGATGGAACAAGACTGATCATGAGCTGATAATTGTTGAGATTGGCTGATGGATATATGAGAGTTCATTGTAATATTATCCCTTTTGGATATTTAAAACTTTCCCACTATAAAAAAGTTTTAAAATAATAAGAACTTACATTTGTGTTTTTTAAACTTTTATTGCTCAAAATGTGCTTATATTAAATAAGTTATTTTTTTAAAGCAGGGATCTAGATTTCTCTAATGTTTCAGATTAGAGATTTCTAGAGTCTACTCTTTAAATTGGCAGAGTAGGCACAATAATCTTAAAATACTGGTACTCAAACTTTAGTGCACATCAGAATCACCTGGAGAGATTGTTAAACTAGATTGCTGGGTCCTATCTCCAAAGTTTCTGATTCAGTAGGTTTCGGATGAGACTTAAGAATTTCCATTTCTAACAAGTTCCCAGGTGATACTGATGCCACTAGCCCAGGACCCACACTGAAAATTGATCCAAAGGTCTAGTTGCTAATAGACTGCAAGGAACCTATAGATGTTCAATAAATCTAACAAGTAGGTAAAAATTAGATAATAAAGAAATGTTTTCTCCCACAGATTTTGAGTTTCAATCTGACTTATCTACAGCTTACTGTATTTAAAAGGACAGAACTTTCCCATGAACCAATGAGGGGAGCAGGTTACCTATTTACTACTACTCAGTAGGTTAATTGTTTAAAGTTATACATGTAAGAAAACAGAAAATAGATAAGTCATTGCCTGAGGTTGAGGATGTAAGGAAAACAGACTGCAAAAGACACAAGAAAACTTTTGAGAGAAATGTATCATATTGCTTGTAGGTAATGACTTCAAGGATGTATACATATGTCAAAACTCACCAAATTATATACTTTAAATATACAAGGTTTATTATGTTATTATGTATAAAGTACACCTTGATACCATTGTTAAGAAATGTTAAACATAAAAAAGTATGTGATTTTAGATTTTTACTAAGGATTTAATTAAGCAGCCAGAAATGTTTCAAAAAATGTAAGCTATGGGGTTTTTTTTTCTTCACAAAACCACAGAACCTGTATGTATATCATATTAAGAAAATAATATACTGTGACGCTGAGGCACTCCAAGTGTTAGCTTCCCAGTGCTAAAGTTGCTCCCACATCTTCTCCATGACTTTAAAGACAGGGAATAATTTATTCTAGGTGCACATGAACCTTCAAGTCTCTTTAAAATGATCCAACTTCTAATATGAAAGACCTTAAGGGTTCATCTCCAGCCATCTCTCCTTCTACATTCTTCTGTAAGTGTTTTCTTCCTTCTACACAGAATATTTTAAAGACAAGTGGCATAGCAAAATGTCTTCTCTTGTGCAGATGAACAAGTTTCCCCATTTACAAATTAAGGATAAAACTACCCAAACGAAGGATTGTTTTGTGGATTAAGTAAAACATTCTAAGTGCCTGGCATTTCCTAAGAGGGAGCTCAGTAAATAGTTTCTTCTTGCTCAACTTGTCTTTGTTGGGGGGATAAAAAGGACAATGAAAGTACATACATTTTCTGAAAAATTATTTGGTGTTTCAAATTAAGTCTTAACATTACAAGATTAAATAGTTTAAAAATGTCATCAAATCATAAAATTGCAGAAATTGATGTGTGTGTGCGTGTGTGTGTGTGTGTGTGTGCATGCATGTGTGCAAGAAACTAATTTCTGAGCACAGCTTATCGCCTTAAGAATGTAATGAAACTGCTCTGTTTTGGTAATGATTATTACTTTCTACTCTGGCAGGTGCTAATAAATTCAATGCCCCAAACTGAATCAGAATAAGAAAAGGCAGACTGGTACTGCATATGCTAACAATGCTTATTCTCCTAACAAAAAAGTGCTTTGATGCCTTGGAAATTTTCTGTGTCCTGAAGCTTTCAAATAGTGACACAATTGTCCTACAGTTAGAGACAGTAATCCAAGATATGGACACATAATACATGTTTTCTGACTTATTCTATTACCTTTGGGTATACTGGAAAATTTGCCCCCATTTGAAAAGATTCTGGCCAAAGTTGGAAGAAAACAAAAGTGATTTCCTGGAGTTAAAAACGGAGAGAGACTATGGTCGCTCCTCTTCTCTTCTGCCTAGGTTTTAATCTAATATTAGAATTACTCCTGAGTGCCTATTTTCAGAATGTACTAAATACAGTGTATTCAATTTTGGAGGTTTTTTTTTTGAAATAGGGTCTCTCTCTGTTGCTCAGGCTAGAGTGCAGTGGCACGATCAGAACTCACTATAACCTTGAACTCCTGGTGCACATGAACGCTCAAGTCTCTTTAAAATGATCCTTCCATTTCAGCCTCGCAAATACCTAGGACTACAAATGCACGCCACCATGCCCAGCTAACTTGTATTTTTTTGTTGACATGCGGGTCTCACTATGTTGCCCTGGCTGGTCTCAAAACTACTGGCTTCAAATGATCCTCCAGTCTCAGCCCACATTTTTTCACTTTTTTTGTTTGTTTTGAGACAGGGTCTGGCTCTCTTGCTGGGGCTGGAGTGCAGTGGTGCAATCTCGGCTCACTGCAACCTCCACCTCCTGGGCTCAAGTGATTTTCCTGCCTCAGCCTGCTGAGTAGCTGGGACTAGAGGCACACACCACCATGCCCAGCCAATTTTTGTATTTTTTTGTACAGACAGAGTTTCACTGTTTTTCCCAGGCTCGTCTCGAACTCCTGTGCTCAGGTGATCCAACCGCCTTGGTCTCCCAAAGTGCTGAGATTACAGGCGTGAGCCACCATGCCCAGCCCCAAATTTTTTTATTAAACATAGTTTAATTAACAATTGACTAAAATATTCTAAACCACAATTCATTGAGGTTACAGCTTAGTCATTTACACAGTGAATATAAATTACTAACTTACCTGGACGATTACTTCTATGTTATGTGTCCCACTACTGTAGTTTCTAGGATTCCACTTCAGTATGAAAATAGGACCAGACACATGAACAGCCTGGCCTAAATCAACTTCATCAATCATAACTGTGACAGAAGTAATGGTGGATAAGGAAAAGGCCAAGATTCTAAAATGAGAGCATATACAAAACACATGGTTTTAGATTTGTCATTGTTTCATTAATGGAGAATAACCTTATGGTAACTTGCAAATTTTAAAAAGGTAGGCTATAAAGGAACGTGTACATTATGCTTACAGCAATGTAAAAGCATCCAAATAAAAAGGCTGGAATAAAATGAAACAAAAATAATAATGGTAGAATTATGGGTTTCTGAATGGTTTTTAAAATTTGATCAGCTTAAGAAAATGATATACTTTTTAACTTAATGGGAACAAAACAGTAAGTAATCTATCTTTTTTTTTTTTTTTTTCGCTCGTTACCCAGGCTGGAGTGCAATGGCGCGATCTCGGCTCACTGCAACCTCCGCCTCCTGGGTTCAGGCAATTCTCCTGCCTCAGCCTCCTGAGTAGCTGGGATTACAGGCACGCGCCACCATGCCCAGCTAATTTTTTGTATTTTTAGTAGAGACGGGGTTTCACCATGTTGACCAGGATGGTCTCGATCTCTTGACCTCGTGATCCACCCGCCTCGGCCTCCCAAAGTGCTGGGATTACAGGCTTGAGCCACCGCGCCCGGCCCTAGTAATCTATCTTTATATAATCTTTAGGTTATTGAGAAAACTAAAATGGGGCATCTCATAGCTTTCACATAGGAATACAGTCACAATGACTTATTCTCCATTATTATTAAACTGAAAGTAAATTCTGAAAAATTGCTACATACCTGATGTGTGTTGAGTGAAGAAGTCTTTCTAGTGGTTCATGTTTAGCACAACAATATAGGAGTGACTTAGGATTGGTGATAAGAACCACAGGCCAATTGCCAAAGATCAAATCTGCAAAGCTAAAGAGGTCATGATCAAAGGCAAAAATCCGGTACCTAGAGACCAGATAATAAGGTAATTTAGTCACATTGTAAGAGGTCATGAAGGTAACATACAGAACAAATATAAAAATACATAACTAGGACTTGTTTACATGATGAATTTGAATAAAGATTAAGTAATATTTTCTTTCTTTTTTCCCTTACCCCTATGATTTTATCCTTCACTTTTATCACATAACTGGCCTCTGACTGGGGCAATAGATTCAACTGTGCTCTTGAACAATACCTGGTACATGGCATGTACTCTTTAATTTTTAAATAAATACTGTTGAAGTAATTTATCTTATCCCTGTACTTTAAGACAATGTCGAACCTAAGACATTTATTATAACCCTAATACCTGACATTGTTCATCCTATCAACAAAGCTACATAAAATATTTAAATGGTTGATATGAACACAATTAAAAATCTTTCATGCTTATTTTAAACCTTTTTTCTTTTTTGAAACAGAGTCTCACTCTGTCACCCAGGCTGGAGTGCGGTGGCATCATCTTGGCTCACTGCAACCTCTCCCGGGTTCAAGCAATTTTCCCTGCCTCCGTCTCCCAAGTAGCTGGGATTACAGGTACCTGCCACCACATCCGGCTATTTTTAGTAGAGACAGGGTTTCACCGTGTTGGCCAGGCTGGTCTCAAACTCCTGACCTCAGATGATCACCCTGACTCAGCCTCCCAAAGTGCTGGGATTATAGGCATAAGCCACCATGCCTAGCCTTAAACCTTTATTGCTATAATTTCAAAGAAATTAAAGTTGTGTTCATTTTCCAAATGCAATAACAAAAGGTATAAAATCTTCATTAAAGAATAACCAAAGTTTTATATTTTCTAACTTCTAGAAATAAGAAATGATTTACTATGGCAAAAACAATTGTGCTCATCAGATACTCTACACATTCCCCTGAATTTCCCAGTCTCCCTGGTATTTGGTTGGGACCATGTGATAGCCAATGGGCTGTGAACAGAAGTGACACATATCATGCCTGTGGTCCAAAGTACTTAAGAGTGAGTGTGAGTTCTTAGTGCTCTCATTCCTGCCCTGGAATTCACATATCAAAATAGGTATTTTAAGATGGAAGAAGTCTGAATTACTGACTCACCCCATGGAAAAGAGTTGTTCTGACTCATACTGAATTTATACAAATGAAAAACATTTGTGTTAAGCCACTGATATTTCTGGATTTATCTGCATCTACAACAAGGACTAGCCTAATATTACCAATATACTAACTGTTTTTAAAAATTCTTCTATTGTAACTAATACAATTTAAGTGTTTATAAAGGCAGGTAAAGGTTAGGTCCTTTCAGAAAACTCCAGATAAAACCCCAGGGTTGGAACACAGGAAAGCTGGTGGAGAGAGAAAGGAAATGGCTTCATAATTAACATCACAACTTGTAACTGGAGCACTTAGAAGAAATAAAGAAGCCGATCAAGGGTTAGTAAGACTATCTCACAAAAGGCAATCATAGCCCAGCCCACAGCCTCACAGCCATGAATAGACAAGTTCTAGCTCAAAATAATTATACTTGCCAAATAATTACAGGTTTCTAGTATAACTCATACAGTTTCTAAAAAGTCAGCCAAAATGAGGAAATACCTTCCAAGATGTAAAGTTCCTTTTTAATTAATGGAAGTAGTTAAAAATAAAAAGATAACATATTCTGTGCAACAAATCTTTGTTGAGTACCTATTAACTGAGAGCACAGGGTTTGTATAAATTAAATAACCATATTAGTTAAACAATAAGATACTCCTCTATACTTGATAAACTATTTCATTTAAATATTTCTTTAGCCCGGTGCGGTGGCTCAAGCCTGTAATCCCAGCACTTTGGGAGGCCGAGGCGGGTGGATCACGAGGTCAAGAGATCAAGACCATCCTGGTCAACATGGTG